AATTATGAGTTTTAGTTAATAATCTGTCGTTCTGGAAAAAAAAAATAACTTCAAAAAAATACTATATTCTATGGTTCCTATCAGAACATCTCAATACTTTTTGAATGCTTTCATATAACTATTCATTAGATTTTGTATGAACTAAATTTGATAGAAAAGCGACTAAATTTTATTTTTAGTACAATATGTCAGCTATTTTTCGAAAAAGATCCATCCTATAGGGTGTCATCAATAATGATACACTAAGTTGCCACTTTAATCGAAACTCGTACAATAGCCAACAAAGTGTACTAATAATGGCAACTGAAAATGATTCCTTTTATTACACTATGTCGGTCACTGTACGAATTTGATTAAAGTAGCAACTTAGTGGACTATTCTTGATGATGCCTTATATGTTAAAGTTTTAAGAAACTGGCCAATATAGTAAACCGTTTTTAAAATTTTACCATAGAAAAGGAGATGCCAGATCTAGTAATGCTGGTATATTGCAAGGATATAACATGTTTCACCTAAACTTATCCAAACACAAAGACGCAGTCCAACATGTTAAACAAAGCCCACAAAGCACGCCAACCCTCTCACGAACGACCCAAGGGTTAGGTTTGCCAATCCTCCGATCGGCCCGCCGATTTCCCTCAAGAAACTTCTCGAGGAAGATTGCTGATCACCTATAGTCTGAACTGTGAGAACTGATAAAGTCGATGGCACCGCCCAATTTGTCTCATCAAGATCTACATGGATACACGAGACGCCACCCTACGCCCCTAGCTGACGCCTAACATTAATGCACAATCACTTTTTGTTTTCTTGTATAAATACTGACCCCCTCCAGGTCCAAAGATCATCGACCATCAGCGATAAACCGATCATCTAGAACCAGTTATCAACACAATATCCCCATACCCTCATTACATCGTCTTTCTCATACGATCTGATCTTCTGAGATCATACACAACAACACACTCACTATACTCGTTTGTACTTTTACTACATAATCACTCAATAAAATCCTGGAGAAACAATCTGTTTGTCGATCGCCATAGTCGAATGACAATATCGGTGTCTTGCTTTCTTTTTAGGCATATTACTTTTTCTCGATCTATCATTATTCTTTACCATTAAAATACACTATAACTATTTTGTAACCCTGATTAAATTGCCTTAAACATACTTTCAGTAACCGTTGGTGGTCGACCATCAACAGAATGACGCTAGAAAGAGGGCGGCCATTAAAGGTTAAATCTGGACCTCATCTCTATATAGTCATTTCCCGGCAAGGTTTTTTCATACAAATCTTCACTTGTCTTTTTCATGCCTCCTTATCGGATGAAGGGTGACACTGTCGATCTTTTCTTTTCTATTGGATGAATGGGCAGCTCAGTCGACCTCTCAATTTCCAATCATCCTGTTACTCTGTTAAAATCTCCCTTAAAATATCCGTATATTTATTTTTTGTTTCCTCTCCACACAAAAAGCTCAGATCTATAACTTTGAGCATACCCTTATATTAGCCCACATTCGACAAGAATGGAGATCAATTAGCTCACCCTCGACAAGAACGTCGAGGGTGCATAACGCTTAGATCTAAAGTAATGACGACTTCCTTATTAGCCAGGGGCCTGGGGGAAAGAATGGCAAGGACCTATCAAATAATACACTGCCAAATCTCGTCCTCATGTCTTGAAGTCAGGCAACTCGACAATCGTCATATAATTGTTGGGCGATCATTGGCTTACAAATGATATTAATCGTCTAACATATGGATCCCCTAACCGAGGGCTAGGCCAAACAACAACCTAGTAAACTTATCTGCAGGTCGAGATAACCCATCAAGGTCAGTCGAGACCGCAAGTTGCACCCCCGATCGGCCAAATAATGTTAGCAACAATAATAAACATATATGTGCAATGATGCTCCCTGAGACAGTTTGGAAAAATATCATCCCATGACAAGAGCATCAGGAGCATATTTCCTGTCGATCCATAACCACAACCTCCATAGTTGATTTGTGGAAAGATGCCCCACATGACGCTTCGTTCGAATATCTTTCTATGGGGAGAACAACCTTCCAATCAGCCCTTACTAGTGCAAATAGGTGAGCATGCCACACCAATGACGTCCCAAGAAAAAAAAAAAAAGTTTTCCTATCATGCATGTCTAGACTGGCAAATTTTTATACTAGATGTGCGTAAGATTTACAAAGTTACACGTGCTCAATATTGTAAAACCTTTACACATGTAAAATCATTATTCTCTTGCATCTTTTTACATGATCGTTACTATTGTATTATATGTACGATAGCCTAAAGTTGGGCTTAATCAACCCATGATTGGACTTAATCACATGAATAGTGGTCCCTCAAATCCAATATATGTGGGCTTTTTATTCCATAACATTAGCCCTTATTATGCGGCCTATAATGGGTTAGGTATGGGGCGCCCTCATACCATGTTGGATGAAATTCCGTGTAGTGCCACGTTGCCTAAAAATAAAACATAAAAATATCAAAGTACAATAATTTAACAAAAGAAATAAAATAGTCAGAAAATATATAAGTGCGACAAAATTAAACATATAAAATTACGCTAATAAATATACAAAATACACAATTTTTTTGACCAATCAGTTTAGAAATGGGCTGAAAAATGAAGAATCAAATTGGTTGATCAATTTTTTAATGGAGGATGCTAATACATCTACAAGCGGCTTGTGGATATATGTCGTCTCCATGTCGCGTTTGAGGTAGTCAATTATGTTCACGTCGTTTTGACGACAGATAGATTTTCTGCTCGTGAATATACAAAGTTATCGGCCCGTGATCGAGATTGTAGAGACGAAATTGTACCAGATTCTTGGTCGAATCCTTTTCAGGAGGGGGAGAATGATGAAGACGAGATCGCGTTGGTCTTTATAGACAAGCGTGATCGTTTAACATTATTAGTTTAATTATATTTTCTTTATTTTATTTTCTTTATTTTAATATTTATTATGGGCATCCTAGAATTTTTGGAAAAGTTATTTATTTTATTTGAGTCTTTTACTTGTTGGGTAAGATATTTACTTATGGTTAGAAGTTCTATTTAAAGATTCCTCTTCGCGGGAGTTGGATTTTGATTAAAATAAAACAAATAGAGATCTTTCGGTTGATTTTCAATCGTGTACGATTTCCCTCCAAAAACAAGTCAATTAGCAAGTCTAGTGTCAATAGTCAAGGAGAAGTTGCCAAAAAGAATAATGTCAGAGTTCAAAAATCACACCACCAGGAAAAGCAAGCATACACTGTCATCGGAAGACAAGTTTCAAAGTCACCACAACTAATGACAAAGGCACTATCGAGACCAGCATTCTAGGCACTACGCGATAGTTTCGGAGTTATCTAAATGCTTGGGATTGTTAAAATTAATAGTCATTTCGAGTTTGGAGAAATCTAAAAACTAGTAAAAAGCCTCTCTTGAAAAATTCTCTATAAGATTATAGTAATGCATAGTCATTAAGAAGTCTAAAGCATATTTAATCATCGTCGCCTTTATCACCGCTTAAGAGTGCTATAAATAGATGTAAAATGCGTGAATTGTAAGATTGTAGAAACAAAAAGCCAAAATTTAAAAAGTGGTCCACTATGTTGTTCATATTTCGAAAAATATTCATCAAGAAAAGTCCATTCAGTTGCTACTTTAATTAAAATTTATACAAAAAACAAAAATAGCGTATTAAATGTGATCGCTAGTTTTAGTACACTATCTTGGTTTTTGTATGAATTTTGATTAAATTGGCAACTTAGTAGACCATTATTGATGACACCCTATATGATAGACCTTTTTTCGAAAAACCCTATATGATAGACCTTTTTTCGAAAAATGACCAACATAGTGTATTATAAATGAAATGTAGCCAAGAAATAAATCAAATGCAATTGTTTGTTCCCAACAATAAAGTGCGCGTATCCTAATTGATCTATTTTTTTTTTAAAAAAAAATTAATTGTTTCCAATATTTCCAATTAGTATTGTTCTTTAATTTCAATTTCATTTCAATATTTTCTAAAAACCAACACTAGCTTACATTTTGTGCATAGCTTATTGCAGCATAAATTATGTACAACCCACACTACAAAAAACATATCATATTCCAGCGGAAAATCCTACGTTGATATATTTCAATGGAAATTTCAACGGATTGTCATATTCCAACGGAAAATCCTATATTGATATATTTCAATGAAAATTTCAACGGATATTTCAATGATATAGCTTCCGTTGGAATGATTTCAACGGAATTATTCTGTTGAAATGATTTTTCCATTGAAATTTAGATAGAATTTTATCATTCCAACGGACATTATTCCCATGGTATTTACCGTAAAAATTTCTGTTGGAATTTTTATTTGCACTCATATTTCAACCATTGGAATCATCAAAATCCAACGAAAATTCCAATAGAAAACTCATTCCAACGGAATATTTTTGTTGGAATTTCCGTTGGAATCCATTGAAAAATTTCAACAGAAATAATAGTATTGAATTTCCATTAGAATTTCCGTTGGAATTCTATTAGAATATATTTCCGTTACAATTTTTTATTGGAATTTCATCACATTCTTGTAGTGCCAGCCAACTCATTACTATGTAGAGTAGTGGCCAAGAAAACACAGAATAATTAAGGTGGTAGTGCCATGCATACTACAATTCCAGCTGCACATTCCCTCATTGTGTTATGCTGACGTGGCTGCATGATCATGCTAAATGTGGTTCTATTACATAGTATATTGATATACTTACTCTGTTTCTTTCATTTTTATGTTGTTGTGGACAGGTAGATTACCCACAAATGTTGGCATGACAGGGGATATTCTTCTTAATGGGAGGAAAAGAAGGCTTGACTTTGGTGTTGTTGTAAGTAGCTCTATTTTGTCATTAATTCTGGCTTATGTAACACCAGATGATCATTATTTTCTGTAACAATTCCATTAATTTCAGGCTTATGTAACTCAAGAGGATATGTTATTGGGGACCCTCACAGTCCGAGAGACCCTAACATACTCGGCCCACCTAAGGCTCCCGACCTCCATGACCAAACACGAGATACGAGCCGTGATAAACAACACTATCTCGGAGGTCGGCCTGCAGGAGTGTGCCGAGCGCAGAGTAGGCAACTGGCGGCTGAGGGGCATAAGCGGCGGCGAAAAGAAAAGGCTGAGTATCGCGCTCGAGATTTTGGTGCAGCCACGCATACTGTTGCTGGACGAGCCCACCACAGGCCTCGATAGTGCAGCCTCATTCTTCTTGGTACAGGCCATCAAGGATCTTGCACAGGATGGGAGGACCGTGATCTTGTCCACTCACCAGCCGAGTAGTCAGGTTTTTGCTCTCTTTGATGACCTCTACTTGCTTTCAGGGGGCGAGACCGTCTATTTTGGGGAAGCTCCGATGGCGGTCAAGGTATGATGTGGCTTTATTTTGATCCTTTTAAGTCGGAATTTGAAAGTGTCAATTGGGAATCAAACTTGGCTGCTTTAGGAAGCATGCATGAAAATTATTTACGTAAGCCGCGACTTTTGTTTTGATTCTCGATTTATTGGTTTTCCTTTTTTTTCGTTAAGTTTTTTGCCGAAGTAGGATTTCCATGTCCGAGTAAGAGAAACCCTTCGGATCATTTTCTGCGCTGCATCAACTCCGATTTTGACCTCGTCATTGCCAAATTAAAGAGTTCACAAAGACTTTGTGTAAGTGTTACTATAATAACTCATTTGCGGTTAGTATTTCCATTTCCTTTAGCATCAAGGTACTACTATATAAGGTTATTTTAGAAAGAAAAAATCAACGTAAAGAGTACTCATCATATGTTCTTTCTCTTTAATCTTATAGCTCAAGTGATACCTCTTAGAATTATACGTATACTGGTCCGTCAGATGCGTTCTGGCATGTTTCCTCTGCTGTAATAATCCATGTTAAATATTTTACTGTTCAGGTGCACATGTTAGTGAAAGTTTGATCATAAGGCGTCGAAAAACATAATAATGTTCTGAGCGACTTTCACTAAATCAGCACTTGTCCTACATTATCGAATCTTCCATTTGTTGTGTTGAATACCAGGACAGACAAATAGCATCAGATCCTTTGATGAATTTGACAGCGTCCGACATAAGATCAACTCTTGTTGAGAAATACAAGCAATCAGAATATGCAAAAATGGCAAGAATCAAGCTTCACGAATTCTCCAAAAACGTAAGTAAATTTGTGGATTTTTGTCCACAAATTCTTATATTGTACTTCTGTAGGCAGATAAAGAATATTTAATTTTGTTGACGTTGCAGCAAGAACTTGAACTTGAAACACTTAGAGGAAGCCAAGCAACGTGGTGGAAGCAGTTGTCGACATTGACACGAAGGTCGTTCGTGAACATGTGTAGGGACTCTGGATATTACTGGTCCCGGTTAGTCACGTACACAATTGTTTCTCTATGTGTCGGGACTTTATTCTATGATGTGGGCACAAGTTACACGGCCATATTTGCAAGGAGAGGATGTGCTGGTTTCATGGTCTGCTTTATATCTTTCATGTCCGCTGGAGGTTTCCAATCCTTTGTCGAGGAAATGAAGGTAAAATAAATAAATAAATAAATTCGTGTGTGAGGCAGAGTTATCACTTGTTAGTAACATATGCTTTGTTTTATTTTTTCTCGACAAACAGGTGTTTTTTCGAGAAAGGATTAACGGGTATTATGGCGTAGGCGTGTTCATACTGTCAAACTTCGTCTCATCTTTCCCGTTCTTGGTTGCAATGTCGGCAGTTAGTGGGTCAATCACGTATTACATGGTATTCGAGGCCGAATTTTCTCGTTTCGTGTTTTACTCTCTCAATCTGTTTGGATGTATAGCTATGGTGGAGAGTGTGATGATGACTGTGGCTGCTTTGGTTCCTCATTTCTTGATGGGCATTCTAACTGGATCTGGAGTTCTTGTAAGTAATCATCCTCTGCAAGCCTTCAGATTTTTACATAGGAGTTGTCCATTTTGTATTTTCTACAGAACAGTCTTATTTTGTTATTAATTTTTTTTTTTTTTTATATGTGTACAGGGGATTATGATGATGACATCCGGTTTCTTCAGATTCTTGCCCGACCTTCCGAAGCCTATTTGGCGATATCCTGTTTCGTTCATCGGGTACGGTTCGTGGGCACTTCAGGTACTTTTCGTATCTGAGTAGCCCAAATTATCGTGTCTTCAAATAAATTTTAGCAATAACAAGAAGTACCCGCGTGAAGCATAACAATCATCCGTTGACAGAGAGTGAATTTTACAACTTTACAAGATGGCTGTGCCTTTTTGTAGCTAGCTCGAACAGAAAAATAGTTACTACTAGCTAACACGATTTTAAAAAATGCAGGGAGAATACAAGAATGCATTGATCGGGCTCATGTTCGACCCCATAATGCCCGGTGACCCTAAAATAACGGGCGAATATGTGGTGAAGAATATATTTGGAGTCTCGTTATCTCATTCAAAGTGGTGGGATTTAGCTGCCCTGCATCTCCTCTTTGTGACTTACCGAGTAATGTTCTTCCTTCTCCTCAAGTTTAAGGAGACTCGACTCGCATCCATCTTTCGTTCGGTTTTTGACAAGAGAATCTTACGTTATCTCAAAAGACATCCTTAGCCACAAAGGTTGCTGTCTTTCCATCCCGCGAGTCACCATAATCAGCCCAATATCATCAGCAGTAACTGTATAAGAATTATTGGGATGATTTTTGTATCCTCAAGTTTGTTTTAGCAGATTAATTCTTCTTCTTACAGACTACATATTTGAACAGGTCATTTTGTTTGAAATGAAAATTCTGGTAATAATCATCTCATAGTTCTTCTTATGGAGAATACTTATTATGTTTTCTCAATCACAATACTCACATTTGATGATGGAATTTGTAAGAAACTGGGGCAAAAACGAGTGATGTCCAACTAACATGAAGCGCACCAAAACGGAGAAAAGTCCATATGAAGTCCAAATGGGGTTCCATCCCAAAACCAATTAGTTGAAGGAAGAGTAGCTCATTAGACTTATAAGGTGGGTCTATTTCCAATGCATGAACGATGTGGGACAACTCACAAGTGATATTCTAACACGCCCCCTCACTTGTGAGTCCTTCGGAAACCCAAGCCCAACCGGGTTGGGTGCCCCAAGCCTAATAGAAGCAGACTCCCATAAACGGGTACGTGGGGAAGCAGACTCCCATAAACGTGTCATCGCACGGTCCCAATAGAACCGGCTCTGATACCATGTAAGAAACTGGGGCAAAAACGAGTGCGGTCCAACTAACATGAAGCGCACCAAAGCGGGAAAAAGCTCATATGAAGCCTAAATTGGGTTCCATCCCAAAACCAATTGGTGGAAGGAGGAGTAGCCCATTATACTTATAAGGTGGGTCTATTTTCCATGTATGAACAATGTGGGACAACTCACAAGTGACATTCTAACAGAATTGTGCATATATTTGTGTTGTATATGGGAAAAGAAATGGTGTGTTTCTTGATGTTGTTCCTCAATCAATTCCGAAAAATAATATCGTTGTTCCTCGATCAAATTCGGAAATAATAATTTTGTTCCTCGATCAATTACGAGAGTTGTTCATCCACAATACGGGCGTTACTATTCACCGCCTCCTTATTACTAGTCACTGCCCCCACGGTCACGTCCGACCTCGCCGGTAGGACGACACCGTGCGCGTCTGGCCTCGCCGGTAGGACGCGCCAAAAAAAAAATTATTTATAAAGTAAAAAATAAAATTACATGGTCAATCTTCAATGTCTTGCTGATGTCATGGTATTTTTTTGGCATTTTTTCAAAATAAATTTGACGGTCAAAAGAGCCGTATAAAATCAAGAGAAAAAAAGTAGAGAGCGAGAGCAGAGAGAGAGAGAGAGTAGTGAAGGGCAAAAACGTAATTGGAGGGGCGGTGAATAGTAATAGGGGACGATAAATAGCAATTTACTAAAAATTATAATTCTAGGGCGGCATTTAGCCTAATTGTGTCACAAATATGATTTATAAATTGTAGTGAAATAGGCTTCACATAGAAAAAAGTAGGAAATTTTAAATAAATCCATTTATTTATTCTATGTCGATATCCATACTATTATAAAAAAGATGAATGATTTTGTAAAATATTACATTGATTAAAATATCCTTATAGTTAATTTATTTTTATTTGGAAAAATGTAAATATAATTAAGTATTCTAATGATAAAAGTCTTTAAGTATAATTTTAAAAATTAAATATCCTAGAGCAATTAATTCACGTTATATTGTATCTAGCTGAGGAGCACCTACGCACATTTTGCTTGAAAGAACGAGGAACAATTGAAAGTAGTGGATAGATGTGATGTGAATATAATTAATTATGTTGGTTTTATATAAAACAAAAAAGTAAAATGATTAATGAAAAAAATCTTTGAATCGAAATTTTGAAATGTAATATCTAAAACTTATTTTTAGGTTTATTTATTGATATAACCCTATTAACGAACCGGAGTTAATTGTAACTAAGCCAAGGAGACACTTGGAAAAGGTAAGTCATCTGGACTTAGACACACCAGTTGACATTAGGCTATTTCCTAAAGCACTCCAAGTGCAAGATTACCTGTTGATTGTGGTGAAGGTAAGACATCTGGACTTTTAATAAATTCTGAACTTTTTAAAGGTGGAGTAATACATAGTACTCTTGATAAGCATGTCACCTATATAAGTGTAATGTGGGAGCCGCTTCAAATGTAAACACTTATGAATTCAAAGTGTTGTTCATGACCAAAACGAACACAACAATATAATTGGATGGAGTTAATGCTATATTGTGTGAATATCATTGTCTTGAAGTTCACTATGGAGGAATAGGTCAAGGCACTAAGGGGAAGAGAAGACTGGGTCTACTGAAGAAAAGAAGACAACGGAGGCTGTTGCTACTGCTAAGGAAAAAAGGGAAAGAGAAGATTGTTGCCGCTAAGGACAAGGGAAAGGAGAAGGTTGTGGAAGAAGATGAAGGTTCAGAAGAAGGAGAGGATGAAGAAGCTGGGTCTGATACCGAGGATGAGGAAGAGGAAGCAAGCTCAGAGGAAGGGACTGAGGATGCTGCTGAAGAAGGTTATGAGGAAGAATCTGACGAGGAAGAATCTGCATAGCTATCTCCCAGCTGGACTTTCATTTGCCTTTTGTTTTGTGTGTTTTTGAACTTCTTCCTTTATGTCTTATTATCTTACGGTTGATGAACTTTTGTGGGATATTTTGTGAACTAATGTGTTGGCATTCAGGTATTTTAAGTTGTTCCTAAGAACAACTCATGTGTGATATTAGTTCTCTTAGGAAGTTGTGTATTCTGCAGTATTTGTATTTGTTTCGTCTTTGCAGGTTCATGTTTTTAGATTTATCTGCCAAAGGGGGAGATTGTAAGTGCTGAAGATTGGCAGTAAATCGATGAACCTTCTAATGTTCGCAGAGTCCAGAAATTTATGGAAGTATTTAAGGGAAGTTTATTTATGGTATGAATAAGTCTTAATTTTAATTAAGTCCAAATGACTGATTATTTATTTTATTATTCTGGCAGGACCTTGGGATTGAGGGGAAGATGCACTTTCCATAATCTGAAGAGAGAAGGATCGCGAGATTTTATTTCCATAATCAAAGAAGAAAAAGTTTAAGAGATTTTCATTCCTTATATGTGTTTGTCTTGGATGAGAAAACTTTCAGAAGGGTGCTGAAGATAAAAGGAGGACGAGACCAGAGTTGAGGACGAGCTTTTCGATCTGAATTTTTGAGTTAGTTATTTTTCTTTCGTTAAGTGAAAAAGTGCGATATTCAGAACATTTTGTAAAAGAACGTTCGGAGGTTCGCTCTTATAGTTTGAGGGATTCGAACTAGAAAATCCACAAGGGAGTTGTGGTCGGATAAATAGTTGTGTGAATCATTATTCAAGTAGAGTGTAGATGGAGTTTATACTGTAAACCCTTGGATGATGTATGAGTTGTTCACATTAATGAAAGAGATCCGAAGGGAGAGTGGACGCTCTCCTGAAGGTTCAATTGTTAGTGAAGAACTGCTTCCGCAATTGTTTGAATCTCCTTTACTGTCTGTCTATTCGATTTACGTGCAACTCTGGATATTTGGTGTTTAAGTATGAAATTTCACATACTTTATCGCATAAATGTTTTACACTTTATCAATTATTTTCGTATGTGTCGCATAACTTCCGTATAGATATTTCGCACTTTATAAATTATCTTCGTCTTTCTGTAGCATAGCTTACTTCATAAACATTTTTCACTTAATAAATTATCTTCACTTGTTTGTCGCATAGTTTATCGCATAATATTTTCTCACGTTATCAATTATCTTCTTCTTTTTTCGCATGGTTTATCGCATAACGATTTCACATTTTATCAGTTAATTTTTGCATGTCTATTTCATAACTTCAATGAATTTCTATACAATAATCTTGATTGTTTGTCACATAAATTATCGCATAATATTTATGCACTTTATCAATTATCTTTGCTTGTTTTACTGCAAAGTTTATTATGTAATTATATCACACTTTTTCAATTATATTTTTCTATCGCACTGCTTATCCGATAATTTATTTCGGGTAAAATTTACACTCCACTTTTAAAGATGCTTGTCTAGTCACTGAGTAATTAAACCAATTTTTTTAAAAAAATAAATAAATAAGTCCCTCTACATCTTAATAAAGGGAGGTTGGAGTGCCTCTTTTAAAAGCCATGTGTATAGCCTAAACTTCTTCCTATGCATTTTTTTTTTTTTTTTTGGTAACTTGCTTTTGGGCCTTTATTGGGGTTTTCCTTATCTCTTATCATTATTGTTCCCTTGTTCCCATTATTACATAATTATATTATTAAGTCAAGATGGTAATTTATGTTTCCATTATTAAACTTTTTGTTAAACTAATATATCGATTAACCGTTTTCTCACTTATTAGTTTTTATTATTTTGTAATCAATTGTGTCTCTTCATTTCTTTTCTCGATCGGACGGTTTTTCGAGAAAACCGCCAGACGAAATACACGGGGTACTCACTTTAATATCCATCGATTTCGTCATCTCATTCAATTGGACCCTTTTTTTTAGTTGGTTGTCATCGATTTAAGGAAACAAATAATATTCATGGCTGTTTTTCTTACCCTCTGTGTGTGTGTTGGACATAGTCGATTGTGTATATTTTTTCTTAATGGTGTATTTTAAATGTACATATGTATGTGTTGATTGCTGTTTGCATTGATGGTTTTGACTGGTGCGCAAGTAGATTCGGACTGGACTTTGGTGTTGAAGGTAAGACAAGATTTTACGGACGTCTTGAAGGTGTTTAATGTTAACTTTGTTTCAAAATTATCTGAGAAGAAGATGAGTTGCATTGCCGCAGAGATTGTATGGGCTTCAACTTCCTCGGGGAGTGGTCGACAATGCTAAAAAGATTCTTGAGGTATCCCTTCAAAGACATCGATATCAGAGGCGATAAGCAAGGACTTGATTAGGAGAGGGTTTCAACACGAACACAATTTTGATGGCAGTCTGGAGGATGTTTGAGGTACAAGACCGGCGGGTTTCTGGCTGAGATGCATGATTCTAAGATGAGGGTGTACTAATTTTATTTTTGTT